TGTTCTATGTTTGTGTTTTTATATGTTAATAAAAGCCTAAATGTAATCTGTTCATCATATAAAGTTATTGTCTCTCTACACAAGACATCATATGATTGTCATCAATTGTTTTACAACGCCTTTATGACCCTTTTGGATCTTCTTTGGAAGTTTTGGTTACTTGGAATTCAAACCACAAATTAAAATATTTTTAAAGAAACCTAAGTCTTATGGCTTTGGACCAACATGAGGGTGAATAAATTATTTTAGCATTTTCATTTTTGGGTGGACTATTCCTTTAATGCTAAAGCTTACAGAAATATTTGTCTGATCAAGATGTGAATTTAAAGAGATAGTTCACTCAAAAATTAACATTCTGTAATTTACTCACCTCTCATGTTGTTCCAAACCTGTATGACCTTTCTTCAGGAGAACACAAATTATGGTTTATTTCTAATTCTGTCAAATGTTTTTTACTACACAATGAAAATCAAAGGAGCTCAATTTAACATTGGACCCCACTGGCTTTCATTGTATGGACCAAAAAACAAAACAAAACAAAACAAAAAAACTCTGATTTTTTTTTTTGCGCTCCACAGACGAAAACATCTTATAGGTTTGGAATAACTTGAGGGTGAGTAAATAATGACAGAATTTTCATTTCTGGGTGACCCATTCCTTTAAGAACATAAACATACAGTATGCAGATACATACATAACATGCATTATTACCTTGCTGTTGCCCATAAACTGAATACTAACAACTGTTAGCTCTGTCATATCAGAAGCTGAACTGAAAGAGTCAACTAACCATAGAAGAACACAGGTTAAGGTTATGCCTATAGCGCCCCTTGTGGCAATGATGACAATGTAACACTCACTTGCGGCTCATTTCAGAATGCAACAGTGCATGAAATTGGGCTTGCATAGCAGACACTGTTTGCAAGAATGTGGGCCTAAACATAACTCTAAAAACTGACTTATCATGAAGGATTTTGATCTAGGAATATGTCCTACTAGGATAAATAACATTAAAGATCATGAATAGAAATGTGTTTAATATGCTAAGTGTGTGAGAAAGGCTACACAATGCACATACATTGTGTGTAAGAGGGGTGTCTGTGTGAGTTGGAGAGTGTGTAAGAGAGGATGTAGGCCGAGATGGATGAAAATGAGAGCGTGGGCTACTGGGACAGCTGACGTACAATGACGGGAAATTGGACCACTGCTATGATGAAGAGCAGGTGGAGGCAGGTGTGGGAAAGGGATATGCCGATGTTTATGAATGAGGGAATCATTATAGAGGAGGTCCCATGTGCTCTACTCTGATGTGGCCTTATGTAGCACTGACACAGCATCTATCTCTCTCTCTCTCTATCTATCTATAGAACAAAACATAAAAGTATCGCCAAGTTATGTTTACCACAGGCTTTATTTTACTCATAAATTGAAAAACCCCATTATAAAACCCCATAGGAAAATCTCGAAGGAACCCATTGCGAATTGCACTTCTGGGTTCTGACTTCATAGTTCCCCCACTCTATAACCAGAATAGTTTAACAGTTTACATTTAATAGCTTTAAGATGTTGACTTTCAGCTGGCTGAAGGGACATATACAATATTTGTTATTTTGTATAGGGCTTCTGCAGCATGCATGACCTGAATCAGTGCAGAAGCTCGATGAGTCAAGAGGGCATGTGAATGAACAGTGTCTAAATATTAATGCACAGTCCTGGATTGAGATCCATGTGTACGCTTGCGTTTTAAAGCAAGACATACCGTACTCTTCATACTGTCCTTCACACTTTATCGCCGCTGTTTGTAAATACTACAACAGAGAAGAATATAGAAGAAAACACACCCCTCAGCTTTTATAAAGCTAATAACCAGCATCCAAATATTCCTATACTGTATAAATCACACATCCAGGGCCAGTGACCAGACATAAAGAGTCAAACTCCAATACACATGTTCTCTTACAGTAGCCAGAAGCCTCGAGTTCTAAGACTTCTCAATCAATACTCAGCCGCTGATCCATGCAACAGCATAAACTTTCAACTTACCACATCGACACCTCATAACAGACATTAATCCCATAGCCCTGAAATCAATACGCCATCATTTCTCTTTTGTGTATTCAGCACCCTAAACAATTTGGCAATAACAAACACAAGCAAACACGGGCTGTATTAATGTCCCCATCCGTTAAAATAGTCCAATAGAGCTTTGTCTCATAAATGACTCTGTCTGGGAGCGTAAGCAACGTTAAATATACATTACTCTAGGCCCGGAAAGTGTGCGGTCCCATATTTGGTGTGGCTACACAAACAACCGGCTATGAATAAATAAATGAAGAGCAGTGCCTGTCCGGACAAAAAGGAAGAGTCTGCCTCACGCCTCAGGCTAATTTACACCAGCCTAGCGGCCACAAACAAATACAAAGAAGATGACGAGGTGAGGGGGTTCAACTCATCAGATGGGTCAGAAAATGGAAATGTAATATTGATCTTTAAAGCACGATGCATGCATGCCAAGGTCGACATTTAGGTAACAGTGAGATTTCAAAGCACGTCATGAAGCTTTAAAATTAAAGCAAGTCTGTAAAGTGCACTTCTTTTGGAGCACCTGAATAACTGATCACAGTTTAACTAGTTTTCAGCATCACGGACACGCTGGCACTCTATGCCAAATTTAGTGAGTCTGACAGGCAGTGTGTGTAAGACAGATCGTGAAGAGAAAAAGAGAGCATCCATCTCTCCTTCTATATGAGCATGCTTGTTTATTTTAATGAGCATGTATGTGAAGTGGGACAGGGAGATGAATACTGGAATACATGGTCCAACTCATCCGGATCCTCAATGGAGAAACCATACCTTGCAATCAATCATGGGGAGAAGGCTCGGGAGGGAAGGAGGAAGACAGAAACAGGGAGAGAGATAAACAGAGAGAGAGACATGGGGGTGGAGGCGGTCGCAGGTTTGCTGCCAGTTTCTTGATTCATCTGGACAATATTCTGTCTTATGCGTCATTTCATTCCCCAACATAGCACAGCTCTCCTTTTGCACAATAAAGAGGTCTCAGCAAAGCCTCTTGACCACTATCTAAAGATCTGCCAGCCTGGCAGACAAATGAAGTGTGGCCTCACATTCAGCCTTATTAATATAATAATGACATCCGGGTTTGTGTCACCGGCTGCCACACCTCAGCCCTGTAATGTAGGATTAGATGAAGAAGGAGAGCTGAGGAATTACATTCGATTAGCACTAAACAAGAGAATGAGACGTGGAACAATTAAATCAATCAAGTGCGGGACCGGAACAGACACAGAGGGAGTGTGTGTATGTGCTGTGTGTGTAAAAGATAATATGCCCTTAACACCTTAAATCTCTAAACAGTCATTCCCTCTCCCAGACAGTCTATTCTGCGAGAGTGAAAACTTTTCAGATGGGCCAACGAGGTGCAAAGCATTCTGGGTAAGCGGCGATAATATAAGTCCCCTCAGCAGGTCTCTGCCGTTATGCAGAGCGAGAAGAGCAGAGCTGCGCAATGCCACAGAGACATGCCTGGAAGAATGAGGAACTATCTGAGGGAAAAGCGTTTTAGAGGGAAGGAGTGCCAAGATTCCTCATAGGCTTTTTTTCTCATTACCTCCTCTCCTCCCCTGTCTTATTACTGAGACTTTTCTCAATAAAGAAGATCTGGACTGGATAAAAAGAAAGCCACACTTGCCACCTCTTTGCTTTCTGTACGTTTCCCCCTTCCTTCACTCTCTGTGACCACATTCCCTGAAAATGTAGTCTTGTGTCATCGTTTGAGGCCTGACTGTGCTTGGATTGGGTTATGTGCGTTCTTAGCGGCCATGTAACCTTTATGAATCTGCACTCTGGGGCAAAAGTGTTGCATAAATAGAATTCTGACAAAACCACAAAAAGTCTGGTCCACATTAGCATCTTAGTTTGGCTTAGGTGACAGAATAGATACCTGCTCACATGGAAAATGATCACCATGAGTTTGTTTCATATTTACACTTATACTTTATGCTCAAAAGATCAAAACTGATGAGATTTTTATGCAATATGTATCAGACAGTCATTGAACGGACACTGGGCGGTCCGTCTGAAGCTGAGATTACTGGGACACAGTGAGGGTGCCACCAGGCCCCAGAAACTGATACCATATGTATAAGACAAAATCATGCTGGAACATCCTGGACACAGAAATTGAGCACCTGAAGCAGCAGTGAAGTAGAACATGAGTCAGCTCAACATGGGACAGACTGAGAATAATATTTCTGTGGAGATGGAAATGTTGCTTTACAAGCTTTCACTTTTCTCTTTTCAATGCCTGTAGCAAGTAAGACGCTGCTGAATCACTAATGTTCTTCCAATTAAGAGCACTTTGTATCACAGTGAACCCTAGAAAATAAACAGTGTTTTTAACATTAATTAGTGACTGCTAAGTCAAGCCTTACTATTGCTATTGTTCATGTTTAGGGTTTGAGATTTACACAAACACCTGTTAAACGTCAGCTAGTGATTTGACCTATATTGTTTGTGCTTATGTTATTTTTTAATTAAAAATGTGATACTAATTCAGATTGTTGAATCAAATTGCTTTCTGATCAGTGTGAAAAAAGTCATGCAATTATTGTGTTTCATAATTGATGGTTGCTGTCACTTCTGAGTCCATCCCTAAGTATATGGCCTAGAAGCACGAATATCTATTGTCTGTGCTCTTTTAAAGGCTTCATCTGCATGCATTTCCTCCCTGGACCTCTGCCTGTGATGGGCTGTAGTTTCGAGGTTAGCTTTGATCAGTTGGTGAGCTCAGGCTCCAGCGGGCTAAGGGGTTATGTTTAATCTCCCTGCCTGTCTCCATTACAGCTGAGTTACACTTGAAGGTGTGCTTCATAGCTCCAAACAAAAAGGGGAAAAAGAGGGGCAAAAAATACGATGGCATCAGAAAAATAACAGTAGCTAACTGCGTTCCCAACAGGTGTCCAAGTCTCTGGCAGTCTTACCTGTAAAAGCCAGTAGCACCTGCGGTGGAAGGTGGGAATGATGGAGGAGTGGACATAACAGCCGTACAGACACTAGGGAAAGAAACACACACAAATGCATGGTTAGTAGAGAACACAATGGCTAAGTCTGAAAAACAAGGTTATGGTAGGGGTTGTAAGGGTCCATCTCGCTTGTCAGAGTTAGACTTGAATAGAAAATTACTTACTTTAACAGACACTTCAACAGACCTACTCTAAATGCAACAACAACAACAGCAAATTAATTTATAATTTATAAAAACATAAAAAAATACAGAAATGAACAGCAGCATTGCTGGCATTAGTGACCCGTACAGGTTGAGGAGTGACACTCGCCCATGTGGCCAAGGAATGGCCAGGACACTCAGAAGTCTGCCAGGGCTGGAATGAGTCATGTGATTTTGAGAAGACATCTGTGATGCTGTGCTGCTGGGTGCCGGCTTTCTACCCAAACACATTGTTTGCAAGCACTCAAGCCAAAGAGCTTGGCTCTTTCTGGAATAAATCAAATATTCATTTCTATGGTTACGGCTCCTCTACAATGCACACAGGGAATATTTATTTACCTGTGGAGAATTGGAAAACAAAGCAGTCTTGGTATATTCACACACACACACACACACACACACACACACACACCATGCACTATGAAATAATGGATTTCTTGAAGTTCTAAGGGAGGTTAAGGGCACCGTTATAGTGCAATGACAAGCTAATATGGAATACGATTAGGAATGTGTTCATTGTTGGCTGTGCGAGACTAAACCAAAGGTAAAATTACAGTGTGCAAATGAAAACTACTGTATAGTTCAATTCAAGGTACAGGTAGCTCTTCTACAGCACTCTTCACAATATCATTTCAAAAGAGCTCTACGAGTTCTACATAAGATCAGAGCCTTGAGAATTCCTAACATAGTATAGATGAGCGGACGATCAAACCTTGAGAGAAAACAAATCTCTGCAGGAGAAACTCACTCTCCCATGGTCAGCAAGATTGTTTCTACAAAAACTATATTTTATACATTGTATAACTGTTTTTGATTAAGCTTAAAAAAGAGTTATGTAGCATATAGTATATATACTCAAGGTTTTAACATCAATATACTACATTCTATGGGTTCATACTGACCAATAATATGGATGTCTATTACCCAGTGTATACTGTTCACAGTGTGCAAAATTTCTATATGCACAAAATCCCTGGATGACCTACGACATTTACAAAAAGGAGCAGTATACACAGAGCATACTGCACAGAACAGTGTATCCCAAAAAGCAAAGCTTCCAATTAACCTTCCATGTCTTGTTGTGTGATGAATGAACTACAAACAGGTTAATATCAGCCACAATTTTTACATCTTTTTAATGACTTATCATTTGATCAGATTGTGAAGAGTTAAGATACATTACCGTTCAAAAGTTTGGGGTCAGGAAGATTATGATCAGGACAACTGTTTTCAACACTGATAATAATAAGACATGTTTCTTGAGCAGAAAATCAGCATATTAGAATGATTTCTGAAGGATCGTGTGACACTGATGTCTGGAGTAATGGCTGCTGAAAATTCAGCTTTGCCATCACAGGAATAAATTACATTTTAAAATATATCATAATACACAACAGCTATTTGTGTTTAGTTAAATTGTACTAATATTTCACAATATTCCTGTTTTTATTGTATTTTTTAATTAAATAAATCATCATGAGAGACTTCTTTTAAAAACATTAAAACGTCTTACCGACTCCAAACTTTTGAATGGTAGTGTGAATAGTGCATATTTTTCAAATAGTGCATATAGTCAATAGTGCATATTTCAAATGCTAACATTTTTATTTTTGTGATGATAACAGTAAATTACTGAATTAAACATTCAATGTAGAAATCATGTACTGTAGTGGGTCCAAATACATTATTTACAGTGCACTGCATAGGATTAATTTAGTAGTAAGCAGCAGCATAAAACAAACAAGCGTGTGTGTCTTTGTGCTAACACAGATTCCCTAGCTGTGTAAATGCACTCAGACACTCATTCATGTTTTCAAGTTTTTCAATTCAAGTTTATTTGTACAGCGCTTTTCACGATACAAATCATTGCAAAGCAACTTTACAGCAAATTAAGTTTCTACAATATTTAGTGGTAGCTTATCAGTAGTGACTGTCAGTCAATGTACATATGGCAGAAATGTACGGAAAAATCAATTAAAGACGTAATCAAACAGACGATGAACACTATTAACAGCAATTATTTTATGATGCAATCAAACTTATAGCAAAATGTGGTAGTTCTGTATGTTGTTTCAGGGTTGTCATCATCTGAGGTCCTATGAGGGGTTGGCATCATCTCTTCTCAGGTGTTCTGGATCCAGACTGAAGCTTGTGTAAATCCTAGTTCCCACGGGATGACAATCCCGTGGCAAAAACAGAGAAACAAATAGAGACATAATTAGCGTAGCTGCTGTTCCAACCAAGCTAAATTTATTTGTTTAACCCAAACTAAAGAATAATAATGTGCATTTGATCATGAGCAAACAAACACTATAGCCAGTAGAGCATTGAGGTCCAGAGTCTCTCACAGGTTCCTTCTTATTCCTCTGCTAATCTGAGAGGGGCAGACAGACAGAGGAGATCTCTGTAAAGCTTTCTACCAGGGGCGGTTTCTCCGAGTAGGCAAGGGAAGCAGTGCCTCTTCATTTCAAAAGTCCATCAAACACCACTGCTTTTCTACACAGGGCTTCCATCCAGCTCCAAACGTACGAGAACACATTTGTCCATCTCGATCTGACAGATAATGTCTGTATGTGGATGTCTGCTATATTTACCAGGCCGAGTGCTATGAGCGTCTGTTCCACGGTATTGACAGGTGTGTGCGGTTCCTTACTGTTCATCCCACTGTGCGGACTGGAGAGTGAATAAATTAGCCCCAGGCAGCTTCTGTTTACTTAGTTTAAGAAATACACAAAGTGTTCAGCAGGCATAAACAAGACACCTGGGCCATGTCAGACTGTAGCACCTGTCAGAGCTGATACGAGAATCAATGCAAACCGTCCATCGGCTACACACATGCTGTTTGCACACTGTCAGAGCTTACACACATACACAACAATATAGCTTTGTTACAAAATCTAGTGAGTTGCTTGTTGCCTACATAGGTAGCTGCTTTAGGTAGCTGACAGTGAACTTCAAATGTGAATGATTTAGAGTGGCAGCAACTTTTTGTGCCATGCAAAACAGGAAAGCTCGACTGAGTCGACTCTTCAATTGTTGAATTGAAAGTATTTTTTCGCAGTTGTTTTTTTTTTTTTTTTTACTCTTCTTCCCACTCAAATAGTCTTCTTCCCACTGAGTGGACTGGAAAGTAAATAAATTAGCCCCAGGAAGCCTTTGTTTATTGGTCTTCTGTCATTAGGTTACTGAACAGAGCATATATGCAAATTATAAAATATGTTCACACACAAACTAACCAGGAACAGGTAGGCTGACCATTTCGCGTCCTCCCAAAACATTTAATATAATACACACAACAAAAAAAACTATAACGCAGACTAGCTTATCAGTAATTCAGGACAAATATTATTCAGCTCTTTGCTGATTCTCTCTCAAGGCTGCGTGGCAATGTGACAAACTGACAATGACAGAAGCCATTATTTGCTGTCTGTGGGCTGTGACAAATGACAGCACATCAAATGGCAAGCAATTATGGCATAATTATGTTCCCACAATCACGCAGGACTTCTCTCCATTTCTCAATCAGATTTACTCATCATTTGAAGCAACAGCAAGACTACAAATTACAAACTGTTCTCAATGCACATCTAAAACAGACCATAGATGAGATTTTGTTATGAAATGGGCCATTTGGGATAAAAAATAGACTATATCAAGTAGTCTAAAAAGTGTAAAGTTGGTTGCTTAATTGAGTGATTATCTCCATGTAGTGGTATTGCAAAACCAACAGTTATTATTATTATTTTTTAATTAAAAATGCTCAAGCAACCTTCACTGATCACCTGAGATGAATTGACCAGGTCGTAAAATATGTGCATAAACACTGTGATCAGAATTTCTCTCTGTCCAAAATTAATAAGTACTGATTATTTTGCAAAAATATGCCTCAAACTGAACATTAATGCCACTGACCTTGCAAACTTGGGCCGACCCAGTGATTAACTATTAAACCTCATTCTATCAAACTGGAACCTTAAAATGACAAATTTTCCAAGCAGACTTTAATCTGCTGAGTAAACGCATCCAATCAGATTGCATATGGTGATTTATTTTAATACCTGCCTGCTAATGCACTTTATACATTATAAACTTTAATAATAAAATACGACTGAACAGACGACTGTCGCGCACAAACAGAACCAAAACACAAAATAAAGTCCAGGCCTGGTCTTCTCTCATCCAACACTGTCGTCACTCCTCCTTTTATCCTTCCAGAGCTCCTCCGTGGGACCCGAGACCGGTGAGTGGCGCAGGTGTCGTGCATTAGCATTTACTCCACCTGCCTCGCTCCGTTTCCACGGCTCTTGGCCCCGCCCCTCTTGTCACACTGCCATTTTTGTGTAAGACTAGGGTCCATGTGCTCTGCTAGGGGACAGTAATATTCAACAGAGGGGATGAACACTTTGGTCAGATGTAACATGGTTAGACAGTAGAGCTGTGATTAGGACACGCTAATTGTGCAAGTCGTCGTAGCAGGTGTTATGCCGAGCCATCAATCAAGTCAGCCGGGCAGGTATGAAGGCAAGGTGTACAACCTGCCGAAGATGTGAGACTCTCTCATTAGGCCATAATGATGTGTGAAGGCACACTTAATCAGACCATGGCATCTTAAGTATGGTACCAATTTGCTGTTTTATGATGTGATGATGTGAGTGGTCGTGATACTAGATGCCCACAATGAACCTCCTCAGGGTAGATGCTGTTTAATGTGATGCAAATGAAAATGAGGCTGTGAGGAACAGACATACAGTCCATTCAATACATTGCACAGTATTCAATAGTGCAATTTAAGCAAGACAATACAGGTGAACGGGGTAAACCTTTTAA